CAAAAAACCTGTCCAAAAAAAAAAAAGAAGAAAAAAAATAATCAATGAGCACTGCAAGGATGTGAAGTACCTGTACACAGTGAATGTGTCCAAAAAAACGCTGCAAGAATGCCAGGGAAATAAACGGCGGAGACGCCACCAAGAGATGTTCTGAAAATATCTGCAAGTCATCTTCAGTAGATGCAAAGATCATGAGAACACTGCTGGCCTATGACATTATCTGAAAACTAACCCGATCAACAGACATGTTTAGTCGCTGGGCTTTCTTTTCTTTTCTTTCTTCCTTCCCTCCTCCTCTCTCCCTCCTTCCCTTTTTTTTTTTTTTTTTTTTTTCCCCCCCCCCCCCCCCCCCCCCCCTTTTTTTTTTTTTTTTTTTTTTTTTTTGATTTTTGCCATAGAGGGAGAGAGACAGAGAGAAAGAAATGAGAAATCATCTCCTGGCGGAATAGGGAAGCTGCGATCCCTTTTCCTCTATTCTCTTGGGATTTTGGGTACATGTGGACATGCACCAAGCATTATTTTCAAGCCACTGGTCCAGGACTCAAACCACAATGTTACCGTCTGGCCCCTTAGTCACTGGGCTCTTTTTTTTTTTTAAGGTAGGTCCTAGTCTTGCTGCCAATGAAATAAGCACACAGTAAGTCGGATTTAAGGTGCCATTTCTCCCAAGCAGACTAATTAAAATGAGAAGGTCATTGAAGGGATGGTACCCCTGGGATGAGCCAAAGCATTTCTCCATGTACCTCCTCCTGCAGAATAGATACCTTCTAGTGTCCTGGTAAGCAGAACACCTTCTGGCAGACTTATGGAGTCTCTCCCTGTAGGGAACATAGCTCAAGGAAACAATGCACAAAGGGGAGGGACAGCCATCTCTACAAAGATGTACTGCAGAACACAGTAAAGAATTAGGACAAGCCAAATGCCCAAGGAAACTGTCCATGACCTGCAGAACTTATCACACAACACAGTAAGCGGGACGAGCAGGACAAGGCATCAGTGACACAGACACGCTTTAGAGAAAGGTGCAGGCACAGGTGCACAGAAACAGGACTAAGCAACTCAGAGTGCTGGAAAGATGGACTTAGAGTACGCTCCAGTCTTCTATTGCACAGGTATAGTTGTGAATTTCCTTTTCCTTTTCCCTTTTCTTTTCTTTTTTCCTTCCTTCCTTCCTTCCTTCCTTCAATTTTAGAACCCAAGGACACTGCAGAAAGTAGAAGTGGACCTGAGCGGTCCCTCCATACTGTACCAAAAAACTTCAAAGTCAGTATTTTCGAAATTCCACTGAATAAGAGTTCTGGTCTAAAGCTTCTGTTCTTACCTGTTTGCAGTCCAAGTTTGGTTGAAGATGGAGGTGTCACTGAAGGAATTGCAGAGGATGAGGGAATGGACTCTAGGAGACTTGTGAGTGTATTCAGCAAATTTCTGGGCCAAAAAGCCTCCCAAAGAAGCCCCAAAAAGATGAACCTAGTTGAAACAAGCATAAAGCAGACTCTAACAGCAATCAATTCTGAATAAGAGTATCAAAAACAGTTGCTTGGACCAGCAGTTAGCGTAATAGCTATGTCACTGGACTCTCACGTGGTCGACTGCGGTTCGAGTCCCAGACCCGGTGGCTTAAACTCACTCAGGGCACGTGTGCGTGCGTGCCCAAGATCCCGAGAGGAGAATGGAGGAGAAGGGATTGTGGCGTGGCCATCCCCCCTGGGGGGTGATTTCTCACTTTCTGTTTCTCTGTCTCTGTCTGGCGAGCACACGTGCCCTATAGCAAAAACCTCTCAAAACAAAACAAAACAAAAAACCAGTTGCTTGAACTGTAACTATATAATGCCACCACTAGCCAATAAGCTGAAATATCTACAGTTAGAAATGTAAGAAATAGAGACCAGCAGATGGTGTAATGGTTACATTGCTGGACTCCCATGTAGTTGACTGTGGTTCGAGTCCTGGACCCAGCAGCTTAAAACTTACACCAGGTGCCTGTGCATGCATGCTCAAAATCCCGAGAGAAGAATGGAAGAGAAGGGACTGTAGCATGGCCATCCTCCCTAGAGGTGTTTTCTCACTTTCTGTTTCTCTTTCTCTTCAGCAAGTGCACATGCTCTATAGCAAAACTTTCAGGAAAAAAAATGTAAGAAATAGTGTATTTTTTTTGGACCAGCAGATGGCGTAATGGTTACATCACTGGACTCCCAAGTAAGTCGACTGTAGTTCAAGTCCTGGACCTGGCGGCTTAAATTTTTTCTTTTTTTAGAGGTTTTTTTTTTTTTTTTTTTTTTTTTTGCTATGAGGGGGTTGCCGCTGCCGAAAGTGAGAAATCATCCCCCAGCGGGGATGGCCACGCTGCAATCCCTTCTCCTCCATTCTCCTCTCGGGATCTTGGGCACGCACGCACATGCGCCCAGCGTGAGTTTTAAGCCACCGGGTCTGGGACGCGAACCGCCTTCGACTACGTGGGAGTCCAGCGACATAGCCATTACGCTAACTGCTGGTCCCGGGCGGCTTAAAATTCATGCCGGGTGCATGTGCATGCATGCCCAAAATTCTGAGATGGGACTGTGGCATAACCATCCATCCTGGAAGGTGATTTCCCACTTTCTGTCTCTCTCTATGTCCGGTGAGTGCACATGCCCTATAGCAAAAAATCTCTCTCTCTCAAAAAAAAAAAAAAAAAAAAAGAAACAATGTATTTTTTAAAAATTTGCCAGATGGAGTGTGTGCTTATCAGAAAAGGGAAAGTGAGAAGCATCCCCCAAGTGGGAATGGTCATGCTACAATCCCTTCTCTGTCCCTTTCCCCTTGAGATTTTGGGCACACACACACACACACACACACACACACACACACACACATGCGACCAGCTTAAACATGCCACCAGGTCTGGGACCTGAACCACGTAGCTGGCCACATGGAATCTGGCTGCCCTAACCATCACCAGACCAAGGATAACCTGACCCGAAATACTATATTTAAATGCAATTTAATACCCCATCAAGAAAACAATACAACTGCACATATAAATTATACAAGTAAAAACACTTGAACCAGGAGGTGATGTGGGGGTTAAGGCAGCTGGAACCTACATGGTCAACTGCATGGTTAGGAACCAGCAGTTAGCATAATGGCTACGTCATTGGACTCCCATGTAGTTGACCACGGTTCTAGTCCTGGACCCGGTAGCTTAAAACTCACGCCGGGCGCGTGTGCATGCATGGCCAAGATTCCGAGAGGAGAATGGAGGAGAAGGGATTGCGGCATGGCCATCCCCCTGGGGGGTAATTTCTCACTTTCTGTCTCTCTGTCTCTCTCTGTCTTTCTGGCGAGTGCACGCGCCCTATGGCAAAAACTTCTCCAAAAAAAATTTAAAAAAAGGTCAACTGCATGGTTTGAGTCTCAGACCCGGTGGTTTGAAAAAACATGCTGGGCTTGTATGCTTGTGTGCCCCAACTCCCAGAAGGTGAAAAAATAGAGGAGAGGGACTAAGGTCTGACTACCCCCTCCCCCATGGTAGTGTTTTCTACTTTGGTTCTCTTTCTGTCTCCCTCTAGTGAGCACATGTACCCTCTGGCAAAATTCAAAACAAAACACTGTTACTCACAAATTATATTAGAAAACGAAGCCATTAGCAGTTTATGCTTAAGAAAACTATGATTCAGTAATTACACTCTGAGAGAGAGAACTGAAAACATACATGAACACAAAAACCTGTTTGCAAATGTTCACAGCAACATCATTCATGGTAGGCAGAAAGAGGAAACCCAAGTGCACCTCAGCTGACGAGTGGGCAAGCACAGCACGGCGCAGTTATACGTGTATTATCTAGCCATGAGGGGAAGGACGGGCTGATGCAGTTACAACATGGGTGGACTTGGAAGCCTTATGCTAAGCGGAAAAAGCTAGTCACAAAAGACCACATATTAATTCCATTAACACGCAATATCCAGAACTGGCAAAGCCACCCGTGGAAAGCAGCTTGGCCTACAGGGCCAGGAGGAAGGCAGGAGTGACAAATGAATACGGGTTTTACTCTGGGGTGAAAAAAGGCTCACGGTCTGTGGAGGTGGTTGTACATATTTGTGAATATCCTAAAAACTGAAGAGTACATTTTAAAAGAGTAAATTGTATTATATGTGAATGATGTTATAATAAAGCTGCTATTAAATAAAAAAAGGGCCAGCTCTGTGGCCTGATAGTTAAAGGAGACGGATCCCACATAGACAACTGTACAGTTAGAATCCTGGCTCTGGGAGCTTGAAAAACATGGCAGCTTGAAAAACAGGCCAGCAGAAGGCATAGCAGTTATGTCACTGGACTCCCGCATGGCTGACCATGGTTCAAGTCCTGGACCTGGAGGCTTGAAACTCATGCTGGGTGCATATGAATGGAGGAGAAGGGATTGCAGGCCATCCACCCTGAGGGGTGATTTCTTGCTTTCTGTCTGTCTTGTTCTCCAGCGAGTGCACGCACTCTATAGCAAAAATCTCACTCTCTATAAAAAAGAAAAAATTGGCTGGGAATATGTGCACGGGTGCCCAAAATGTGACGAGGTGGAGAAATGAAGGAGTAGGGACTGTGACATGACCACACTCCATTGTGGCGGTGGATGCTTCCTCCCTCTTCTTTTCTGTCTGTCTCTCTGGCAAGTGCACATACCCAATGACTACAACAATAAAATACAATTAAAAATTAATTTTTTAAAAAGAATTATTCATTTATTTAATTCCATTTGTTATCATTATTGTTTAACTTGACAAGAGAGAGCCAGAGGGAGAGAGAAAGAGAAAATGAGAAAGCAAGCCACCAGGTCCAGGACTTGAACCACAGTCAGCCATGTTGGAATCCAACACCCCTAACCACCACACCACCTGCCAGCCTCAAAAATAAATTTTTTTTTAAAAGAAAATATATGGCTTCACAATATAAATGTTACATTAAAATCACAAGTAGGGCTGGCTCTGTGGTGCAGTGTTAGTTAATGCACTGCTCAAGAGAAGCTCAATCCTATGTGGTGACCGTGGTTCAAATCCCCAGTCCAGTCAACCTAAAACAGGCCCCGAGCACCCAAGACCCTAGGGCTGGAGGACTGGAGGAAGCGGATCACAGCATGACCAGACCCTATGGAAGCTGCTCTTATGTCTCCCGCTTGCCCTCCTCATTCTCACTGCATGCACGCACAGCATATCATGAATAAAGAAAAAACATCACACGTAAGTATTTAGTTCCAAGGTACTCACCTTATCCAACTGCAAATGGTCTAGAAGTTTTCTGAATCCATCACAGAATTCAAGATGATCCCAATATACTGGATACTGTAACTGAAATAAAAACAATTTTTTATTTATTTTTAAAAACCATTAAGGGTAAAAATATAACCCATGAATCTGAAAATCTCAAGACTCACACAATAGCTTTCCTCACTTGCTCCAGTTCTGCTTCCTATTGAAAATATTTGAAAATAAGCTCTCACCTTCTTTTTTTTAAAAGAACTATTTTATTTAACTTTATTTATTTATTTCAATTTGACCAGAGAGGGACAGAGCGAGAACAAGACAGGGAAAGTGAGAAAGCAAGTCACCAGGTCCAGGACTCAAACCATGGTTGGCCATGTGGGAGTCTAGCGCCCTTAACCACCATGCCACCTGCCGGCCCCAGCTCTCACCTTCGATTCAATTTTAAAATTCACATTTCACCTAACAGACCAAGATTTACAAAGAAGAAAAAGTCAGCATATTCTAGTGATAATATGTGAATAGCAATTTCTTTCTTTGAGAGACTTTTGCTTTTAGAGATCATACGTTCACTGGAGAGAGAGGGGGAGACAAACAGACAGACAGAAAGTGAAAAATCACACTCTTCAGGGGGATGGCCATGCTGCAATCCCTTCTCCCCCAGTCTCCTCTTGTGATTTTGGGCACGCACATACATGTGCCCGGTTTGAGTTTCAAGCCACTGGGTCTGGGATTCAAGCCACAGTTGACCATATAACCACTATGCCGCCTGCTAGCCCATTGAATAGCAATTTCAATTCACGTCAGTTTTCTTTCCATATATCTTAGCCTGAGATCTCAAGGGTGACTAGCACAGGTCTTTTCAAGTAAAGAAATATTGTTTTCCCTTAAATCCAACTTCATTCTGAATCATGGTTCAGGAGAAACAAATACTATCTAAAATCTCTAAGCAGAGCTCTCTCGCTTTTTGCAGCATTTCTTTGAGGGGATGTTCAATAAAATTGTTCCTCTTCTTTTATTTGACTTAGTCACTCTACCTGTTACGTACTTTTGTATGTGACTGAAAAAAAAAAAGAGAAAAAAAAGAAGTATGGTACTTGACCATAAGTAGTCTGTCCATTAATGTTGAGGATGATGAGAAAAAAGTATGTAAGTTACAACTCATTTCTAGCGGACTCAGGCTCATATAAGAATTCCTTTTCTCCCCCATATATAAAAAATTCATCTGGGGTCAGCAGAAGGCATCGTGGTTAAGGTGCTAAACTCACACATAACCCATCCTGGACCTAATGGTTTGCTTTCTTTCTCTCCCCCCCCACCCCCAGTCTCTCTCTAGTGAGCATGCATGCCCTGTAGGAAATAATAGTAATAAATAAAATTAAATAATTAAAAAAATATATTTAAAAAAATCCTCATGATAGGCTTGTTTAAGCACTAAAATTCATTTGTCATTGACGAATCACTGGACTACATGCGGGGCATGTGAATTACGGGATGATTTTGTATTAGATATATGACTTTCATTTTTAAAATTTTGTGAATAGGACTTCTAGTATTCTGAAACAGGATGATGAAAGAGTCTATCTGGCAGAAATTTGGGAATTTGAGTCTGATGAAATTGTAAGCAACTTAATATATACATAACCACACGCGCGCGCACACACACACACACATACACACTCTGAGTCCAAGTAAAGCTGGGGAAAGGCGACTAAGATTGGTAGATTATATTCATTTGAACCTCCTGGTTGTGATATTGTAATATAGTTTTGCAAAATGTTATCATTGGGGGAACCAGCAGTTAGCGTAATGGCTATGTCGCTGGACTCCCACGTAGTTGACCGTGGTTCGTGTCCTGGACCCGGTGGCTTAAAACTCACGCCGGGCGCGTGTGCGTACATGCCCAAGATCCCGAGAGGAGAATGGAGGAGAAGGGATTGTGGCATGACCATCCATCCCTGGGGGGGGTGATTTCTCGCTTTCTGTCTCTATGTCTCTCTCTGTCTGTCTGGCGAACGCACATGCTCTATAGCAAAAACCTCTCCAAAAAAAAAAAAATGTTATCATTGGGAAAAACTAGGCAAAGTATAAAAGGTAATTTCTCTGTATTATTTCTTAAAACAACATGTGAATCTACAATTATCTTAATGATGTTTTAATTGCCCGAGGGCACGTGTGCTGGTTAGAGACTGAGAGACAGAAAGAAAGAGAAGGTAAAGCACCCACAATGGGATGCAAATCCCAACCCCATTGGGATTTGGGGCCACACGCACATGTACCCAGTATGCTTTTCTTTTCTCTTTTAAAAAGTTTGCCAGACAGTACATGTGTTTGCCAGACACACACACAGAGAAAGAGAGAGTCTGGAGAGAGAGAAAGAGAGAGTCTAGAGAGAGAGAAAGAGAGAAAGCAGCCCCATGGGTGATGGTCACACAGCAATCCCTTGTTCATCTGTCCCTCCTCTCAGGATCCTGGGCAAGCACACGCATGCACTCTGCATGTTTTTGGGCTGCCAGGTACAGGACTCGAATCATGCAGTTGGCCACGTGGTACCCAGCCACTTTACCCACTATCCACCAGCTGGCCCCTGCCAGCAAGATTCTCAAGCCTTCTGGCTGGGCTAGGACTCAAACCATGGCTGGGCATGTGGGATACAGCTCCCTTAACCAGCAGGCTATAGGGCTAGCCCTATCTGAATAAAAATTTTAGGAAGATCCATGTGGTTTAACTGCTAGATACCAACAAATATTTAATAAGTTCCAAACCTTCAAGAGGCTGAGCATCCTGACCGAGTATTAATAAGAACACTGTGGGCATTTTCCTCGCTCACTCCCCATCTTCTAAAATAGGGGAAGCCCACATCAAAGACTTTGGGGCAAAGAAGAAATATTCAGCCAGAGGGCAAGGCTGCTGTGCCATCAGTGGGCCCGCCCCCACACGCACACACACGTACACACATGCACACGCATGGCCAGCACTCCCAGTGCTCTCCAGCAGGACACACACTTGGGGGCTGCTCAGCGTCCCCCTCTCTCCTGACCCACAGAGGCCACCCAAAATGCTGCTGTCACATCTTTGGCTGCAGAGGGTGGGGCAAGGGCAGTTAGCGTCCTGCTCTCCTAGAATGCCGCATGGAGACGGATTACTGAAAACCCAGAACGAGGGAGGGTAATGCTGCAGAAACTAGAACACGCCACCTAAAGAATGGTGAGAGAAACTGGGAAACTAGGCCAGAGAAGACAAGACCCGGGGAAGGCAGCAGGCAGTGACACCTGCTTTCTTGAGTCCAAGAAGGCTGTCCAGAGGAAGGGGAACAGCATTTGTTCAGCAGAGCTCCAATGGCTGCTAACCCCAGTAGACTTTCAGTTCCTTCCCGAGAGAAGAGAGCTGTCATTTTCCTCTCTCCTTTAAACAGCAAATAAATTGTACAAGGGAACTTCAAAAACTTTATGGAAACCATTGTATTATTAAAAAAAAAAAATTGAAAATTAAAAAAAAAATTTTTTGTGCACTGAAATAAACTTGAACTTCAATTGCATTTTCCAATGACCTGTCTGAAGTCCCCTGCACAACAGCAGGAGTATTCCTACAGGCAGCACCACTTACATGCCGACATCCCAGGTCTAGGGAACGACCACCAGTTCCAGAGCTAAAGAGTCACCTCTCGGGTCAGCAGGTGGTACGGAGGTTAAGGTGCTGGATCCCACTGGGCCAACTGCACAGTTCAAGTCTTGATCCAGGAGCTTGAAAATCACATCAGGTGCATGTGTGTGCATGCCCAAAATCCCAAGAGAAGAATAAAGAAGGGATTGTGGTGTGGTCATCCCTTTTGGGGGGTGATTTCTTACTCCCCCTTCCTTTGTCTCTGTCTCTCTCTATGAGCACATGTACCCTGCAGCAAAAAGGAAAAAAAAAGGCAGTCACAAGAAACCACACCTTCCCTACATACCTTTCTCCCAGAGATTAGAGAGTGATCAGTTTCCCAGATTTAGACTAATTTCAGTTCTCAACTATCAATCAGAAACAAAATCTTAACTAAATGCTAACCACTGAACTAATTAATGAGCCTTCCTCAGAAGTCAACGAAGCTACACTAAAAGCAACCCTTGGACTGGCTCCATCGAGTGGCGAGTAAGGCAGCCAGATCCCACGTGGCTATGCAGTTTGAATCCCAGACCAGGAGGCTTGGGAAACACACATGTGTGTAAGTGTGCACCCAAAATCCCAAAAGGAGGGAGAAATGGAGAAGGGATTGCAACCTGATTATATCCTGGGGGAAGGGGGAGGTGTGCTTTCTCTACTCTGGTAGTGCATATGCCCTCTGGTGAAATAAATAAGTAAATCATAAAAACAAAAGCACCCTGTGTTCTATAGCAGAACCCTGTATTATCTAAGTTCCATGCTTAGCTCCCCAGGAAGTGAAAGAATCAGGGGTGAGGATGGAGGCAGGTGGGTTTCAGTTCCTTCCTCCACTATGTACTGACGTGTGAACGAGGGAGATCCCTGAAATGACCTCGTCTATTAACAAGAACAAAATGCTTCCTGCCACTCTGAATGACGAGACAAGCACAGGGGAGAATGCGGAGAAAAGCTGGCTTTCCAGAGGCTGGCAGCAGATGCTGGTGCCCTCGGAGTCTCTGTACGCCTGGGCATGCATGCCAGCTTCCTTCAAACGGCTTCGTCTCACATTTTAGAATAGGAAAACAGCATCTCATCTCTATTAAAAATGTGCCCATTAGGGCCAGCAAGTAGCATGGTGGTTAAGGCACTGAATATCACATGGCTGACTCTAGTCCCCAAATGGCCTCAAAAACACACCAGGCACGTGTGCATGCATGCCCAAAATCCTGAGAGGAGAATAGAGAAAGGGGGATTGCAGCATGGCCACCATCCCTGGGTTTCACTTTCCGTCTTTCTCTGTTTCTCTCTGGTGAGCCCATGCACTCTATCACAGAAATCTTAAAAAAAAAAAAAAATGCCCATTACTATAGATGTTCAGAAAGGAAAGCACAAGAAAAATTAAATGTAAATCCA